ATACTGCTTGATGACTATGTCTTATCTCTACAGATGAGACAATATTTTTTTCTGTGTTTCCCAGAGTTCAGTCCCAGGTTTGGAAACTGATCTATATGCTAGTTCTAACTTGGTTTTATTCTGGGAGTGTTCCTGGGCCAAGCTAAATTCTATTATCTTTCTGACTCCAAATTCTGTTGAAAATAATGACAACAACAATAAAAAGATTGAAAAGTTATACCAAAATCTACCTGCGATGTAAAATCCTCTGATAATGAAAACAGCCTCGTGATCCTGAGTCACCATCATTTCCTCAGATTCTAACTTTCTAAAAAATCAGTAACAGTGGAAGATGAGGTCCTAGTGACCCAGGTAAAGAGTCCCCAGTAGGAGTTAAGGGCCACAGTTTGTGTCCCAGCTCAGCCAGCAACCACTGTGGGAATTTAAGCAAGTCATTTTGTCATCTGAAACTGTCTCTTCATCTTTAAAGAGATTAGAATTCAAATTCATAATTACTTGCAGATCAGAGACCCCTCTGATATTCTGCTGAAAACTGTTGACCTCCTTCCCTGAAGAAGCACAAATACTCTATAAATAGAATTCCAAGAGGGTCAGAAGCTCTTTAAAATCCACCCATAGATTCCCTAGAGGACTTTAGAATGATTTACATGGTCTAAAATATGTAGTTGAAAAAACAAAATAAATCTATTTACATGTGCTACTCCCTATGTGAATTAGTTTTAAAATGTGTATTTGGGCCATTATGTCATTTGACGTTTTATTACTTTTTCGTAACTTATAGTACTCAAAACAGAGCTAATTTTTCAATAGTGCCGAATATTTCCTTTGTGGATTAATAGCATCCTAGGATCTGCAAGGTTACATGTTCACCCTGCTACTCAATGCAGGAATCATCTATCACCTGCCTCAGAGATGAAACTATAGCTTTGACTTGAACATGTACAGTGATGAGGAACTCATTCATTTGTTTATTTCTGGCCAAACATAAAGAATTTGGGAATTTTCTTTTTTATATTGAGCTATAATCTGCCTATACACACAAATGTCAGCCATTGACCCTATTTCTGCTCTTAGCAGCTACATAGATTAATTTTATTTCCTTTTCCAGTATTTTAGGAAATCGAAGTCAGCCTCTATTGTCCTCTATTAATTTCCTCTATGCTAAATATTCCAGTTTCATCTATAATTCCTCCAGAAAAGTGATGTCATAAAACTACCTTTTATCTCAATTCCCTTCTTAAACAGTCCTCTTAAAATGCAGATGAGAACTAGGCAGCATGTTGCAGGAAAAGTCTGACCAACACGTGGTTAGAGAGCAGTTCCCTTTCTTATACTGCCAACTTCACTACTAGGAATACCACCAACACTGCCACAAGCTCTGTGCCTGGATACACCAGGTCAAGTGAAATTGTAGTCACCTAAAATCCCTAACTGTAATTAATTAAGGTTGCCCTTATACTCTATTTTGGTTTTTTTTTAAGAACTAAATTAACCTTTCTGAAAACAAAAATTCTGTTGAACTCTACCTTAATTGCTTAGGCCATCATTCCAGCTCTTGGAAACCTTTACTCACTTTGTCATTCATGTCATCTTTTCTTCCAAATTTTGTGTTATCTACAAATGTAATGAGCCTCCTGTCTTTGGCTTCAAATTAATTGATTAAAAATATTGACCTGTGGTTTGCCAAATGTAAAACTCCCTCTATGGATTCAGTATTCAAAATTCTTCACTCAGGTACTTCACAGCTTTGTTGAATGCACATTTAACCATTTGATCTACAGAATAGAGAAGACAGTAAGTATTGTGTTCTGCTTGGGGTCAAAATTTCTTTCTTTTCCTTTTCTTTTATTGTCTGCTTTCTTTTCTTCATTCCTTCATATTTTCATATCGCATATCCTTGTCTTCTACATGGTCCCTTTTACTGTGTGCTCATTTTGCTTTGAAGAAAAGAACCTCCAATGTGTTTTTTGGGATTCCTTGGCCTTCTGCCCATATGCAGCCCTGGCTGAGTCTGCACTTGCTCCTGAGGTTGTTTGCCATGTACCAAGCCTCAAACCCTGTGCAGGGGAGGGATTTTCCTGATGCTCATTAGCATCTGGCAGAGGAGGAAGCTCTGAGTATTTCAACAGCACCCCCAGACCAATTCATTTTCATCCATCTCTAGAATTACATCAAATGTAACCCTCCTCAAACATCAAATGGAGATTTAAAGAAAATTAAAACACAAATCATACATGTGTTTTGGGATGCAGGAGAGGTGTAGGGAGAAAGAAATTATTACATAGTCCTCAGCAGACTTTTCACTTTAATCTCAGCATTATTGCATCTATAATCAGATGAATATTGATGATGGGAAAAGAGAGAGATTGCCTTGAAGGTTGCTTCAAAGCACACATCAACCAATCGTTTATTATCCAATTGAAAGACGGTGTTAGAGTAAACTGCTTTGGGAATCAAAGAATTTGTTGTAGATATTCTGCTGAACAGCTCTTTGGTAACATGTCACCTGCTCCTGCCTCATCAAAATGTTTCACCTGGAAATAGTTGTGTCACAATTGTATAGGGCTAAGGAAGACCTTCTAACATTTGTCCAAGTGAGTGATTTTACTTTGCAAAATGTTTGGCTTTTTCATATAATTTTGTGATCATTATTATTATAAAATAATTAAATGGGGATCAGGATAAACAAGCAGACCTATTCTCAAGTGTGGAAAGTGGGTGATTAATTGATTAATGAGTTAAACATCTTAATTATTGATTTTTCCTTTATATTTAATCCCCTCATTTAGACAAATCAATGTGGACATTAAATTATTACCTCTTATTTAAAGAACATTATCTCAAACACAGATTTATTACTCTGTAGTTACCTTGAAAAAGATGAGCTCTGGAGTCATTAGAACCTTTGCAAACCTGGCAAGATATAGTCAACTTCAGCTCAGGAAGAGGAGTGGCAGGCGGCTGAATGATTACTGTGCCTTAATATTTCAGAGGGAACCCCAAGACCTTGGTGCCAGGTTAATTGGTACTCCAAACCTATGATAAATCCTAGAGAATGATGGAAAGTTTGGGTCAGCAGCCAGAAAGATAAAGGTGAAAATGAATCAGTGTCTCTTAATAATGGAACTTTATGAGTTATTCATTCATACCCTCATTAATTCATTCAATATGTATTGAGGGACTATTATGTGTCAGAACTTCTCTTAGCATCACAATACCCTTATAACCTTGTACAAATCATTTATCTTCTCTAAGTCTAAATTTTACTAGACAGGTGTTTACCACAAGGAGTTGTGAGGTTTAGTGACTCATGTATATAAGACTCCAGCAGAGTGAGCAGTTGGACACTCAATAAACCCTCTTCCCTTTCCCTGAGCACTGAGACCTCTTTTTCAGGTAATTTATGGTAGTATGAAATGAATTCCATGTCTTAGTAACAAATTTCTCCCTACAGTGTTAGATCAAGAAGAATTGTGAATAATGTATGTTTTCAGATGAAATTACATATTTAGATATTATTACAAGTGATAAAATATTTTGCAATCCGTGAAGTCCAAGGATGTCACTGTTTGCCAAATAGCCCTCTGAGGCTTGCTGACAGCCGAACATGCAAACTTACACATTTCTTGAGACTCTTTGTTTTATAGCAAACATGAATAGTGACTTCATTTCATTTATCAATTCTTACTGGGGTGGTTTTTTTTTAGTAATACTTAAAATAATCTCATAAACTAATTTTATAAGATACAAAAAAGTGTAAAATTTCGCACATTAACCATCACTAGATGCATAAAGTTTCAGCTCTTCTGATGTCTTAACAGAATAGACTTGAGGGAAATGAAAGATAATTTTGTAGATTGAGTGTGGTTGTTGTAATTGTCTTCTGATTTATGCTGTAAATTTGAAATAATTTTGAAAAAAGTCTAAAGATAGATTATTGTGGAACTGCCAAAGGCACATACCAAATTGTTACTTCATTAATCAATCAATCATTTAGACAATAAATATTAATGAGTACCTACTGTTTGCTAGGCACTGTGCCTGGGACTCCAAAATGAAATTACATATTTCTCAGCATCAAGGAGTTTTCTCTAATGGAGAAAGATATGTGAACAAATACAGTTCTATAAGGTAATCAACAATAAATATTCCAAGAGCAGGGGGAATATGAGAAAGTCTCTATCTACATGGGGAATTGAGGTAGCCATCAGAGAGGAGGCAAGCTGACACCAGAAGGATGAGTGGGAGATTATCAGGTGTGTGTAGGATGAAGATGTCTGGCAATGAGAATAGAACAAGAAAAGTGTGAAAGCCTGAGGGAGCCTGGAGTGGGGAAAAGTAGGTTAGTGTTGTTAAGTGTAAATTACCCTGAAAGCAAGAAAGGCTGGTGAGAAATGGTAGAGAGCCCAGATTACAAGAGCCTTGTATAGCAGGCAAATGTATGCCAATGTTTTTCCCACTGTGTAGGTTGTGGGGGAAGTTATTGAAGAATTTTGAATAGAGAAGTTCCATAATCACATTGGTATGTTTAGGTTCTGAGAGAAGATTCACAATATTGTGATTGTTTTGTTGTTTATAAGATACAGAAATGGCACGCACACCCTTTTGTTCCTAGGGGTTTCAATAGTTCTTGTTGTAATAGAATTGAGGGATGCCAAAAGCAATATTTGAACTAAGTGATACATTAGAATTATAGAATTATAATAAGAATCTGTGAGCAGATTTTTAGTTAACAGGTTTTTAATAGGCTGTGATGCAATCCCTAATGGAGAAGCTTTAATGATGAAAGATAGCCTGCCTCTAATGGAAATTCATCTGGGTATGTTTTTATTGCTCAGTGAATTAAAAGGTTTTTATAGGATTACACTGTTAAGATTCTTGGAGAAAAACATATAAACACCAAATGAAAACTTTCCACTCTTTTATATCTCTTGCAGCAAAGCGGTTAATATTCCAGAAATGAAAATCATTTAAATTTTGCATAATTTTTATAATTTCAGGGGTTAAGCATCTGAAAGGCCAGAATGAATCAGCATTCCCTGAAGAAGAAGAAGGCACCAGTGAAAGAGAGGAGCAGCAGGACCACTAATTACTGGTCTGCAGCAAGAAGGCTTCTTGGAAATAACTGAACTATTAACTTTTCTGAATATACCATGGAATTCCACCGCTTGATTTCCGGAAGCATCCTCCATCTCTGCACCCGCACTCATACAGTAGCTATGCACCTCCTGGAAGTCTCCTTAACTGAACTTTAGAACTAAGTACACATTGTTCCACATCACTTACAATTAAAGAATAAGCATTTATTTTACAGTGATTCTTCTTTTTAACTATGTAAAAATTTGCAGACATGTGACTGTTCTAACTTTAATACTGCCAGAGCTTAATCCTTGATGTCCTACTGATAAGGTTTGCATTCTAACAACACATGTAAATAACATCACTTTAAGAGTAAAAAATAAATAGTAAATACATTTAGACATGAGTGTGTGTGTATGTGTGTATGTGTGTGTGGGTTTAACTTAAAGAGAAATATCTAATAAAACTTTTAGCTTAAGTTTTGCATTGATCAAATTTCTGTATCCAGAACACAACATAATGTTTATTTTTAAATGATGAAGAAATGCCAGTTTTCTTGATTCAATACACCACAGAATTAGATACTAAATATCTTTTTCCCACCAACAACACATTAATGGTTGATTATAAAACTACAGAACTCTCTTCATTTTCTAAGCTGCGAGATATATATTTCCCAGCATTTTCTCTAGTTATTAAGAAAGACAAATGATAAATCTAAAAATCTATGCCAAATCTTCCTACCCCCTTTTTTAGCTATTACTTTAAATTTGGGTCATCTATTTCCTATTGCATTTTGATAAATAATTAGCAGTTTATAAATCTTCCATATCAAAAAATAAGAAATTCCATTAATTCATGCATATAATAATTTATTCATTAATTAAATAAATATCTTTTATGAGCTTATCCCTAGGAAGGTACTCTTCTGGGAATTATGAAAATAAAAGAAACATACTTTTACCCCTATAGAACTGGCAGAAAAGATTACAGCATTAGCATAAAGCAAGATTTTATATGACAGTATATATTTATTGAATAATTTAAGTTCTGGGCATTTTGAACAATTTTAATTATACATTATTTGTGAAAGCAAGTATCTAAACTACAAAATTTAGGGGGAATGGAAGAATACCCAACTTGGTTCCTTTATTAGTAATATTAATGAAATTCAAATGTATCATGGATAAAAAAAATGGAAAGATTTCTCCAAACTTGGTAAAGGAAAAATGAAGGCAGGAAGAAAAAATCAAATATGTAATCCACTGTGGGATCTTAATATCAAGATTCAAATATGTAAAATGATTGCTTTTAATTTTGAATATGAGTTTTGTAATGTAGAAGTTAAGAGAGTTTTATGGAGCTGTCAGAGAATGCAGTGAGTTGACATTTTCCATAGTACTTTTCTCCAAGAAAATAAGTGTGAAACTCATTGATAAGCATACCACAAGTATAAATGACTATTCTAGTTTAATCTCTCTCTCTCCTTTCTTCTTTCCTTTCTTCTGGCTTTCTCCCTCCCTCCTTCCCTTCCTTTCTTTCTTCCTTTTCTCTCTCCCTCTCTCCCCTTCTCCCTCTCCTTCTCTGCCTTTCTGCACCACTCCCTCGACTTTTTCTTTGTTAAGCCAAAACTTTCTGGATTTTCTATACCTGCTATGACTCTGTTTATTTCCCAAGTTTCTCTCTACTTAAAACCTGATTAAGCCCCTTATTTTAAGTGATTTTGAATTATTTGTGTTTGGAAAACATCTTAATGCCCCTTGAGAGTATTTGAGACACCTTGAGGTGCTAAAACATAGCATTGCCCTTCCCTTTCCTTGAACAGATGCTTTTAAAATGCTTTTTCAAAAGGACTCAGGCAAACAAAAAGAAACCAAAGCTTTTGCTGATTTTGTAACATCATTTAGGGTAATATACAGGATAGCTTCTGGATTTTTCTGTTCTGTTCTCCATTCCTAAAAACACAAAGAAATCAGCATTAAGAGCATAAGTTTTCTTTGGGAAATGTTGTTTTCTTCCATTCTGTTCTCCACTCTCAAAACACAAAGAGATCACAATTAAAAGCTTAAGTTTTCCTTGGGAAATATGTTGACTTTCTCAGAAATTTGAAGGAAACCAGTTGAGATAATGGCTTTTCACTTTACTTTTCACACAATTACAGTTTACAAAATTTTTTTTTCTAGGAGGCAACTTGGCTTCAGTTTGGCAGAATGGGCAAAGAAACTGACAAAAGCAAAACAAAACAGAAACTGTGTTTTCCAGATCACATTTATAATATAATTGCTAGTAGCTGGGCTTCGAGTCATTCTGACTTGGATTCAACTACAGGCTCTACCAGATTTCAGACTCAGTTTCTTCATTTGTAAAGTGGGTACAATCATACCTAACCTACTGGGTTATTGTGAGGCTTAAATGAGATAAGACCTATAAAATACTTAGCCAAGCTTAGTGAGCATTTAATAATTGGTGTATATTATTATTAGAGTTAGAAAGGACTTCAGAGGCCTTCTATCTTAACTTTATCTACTTCATGATCCTCTTCAACATTATGAACAAGTGATTAATCACCCCACTTATTTATTTTTATTTTTATTTTATTTATTTATTTATTTATTTATTTATTTATTTAGAGATGGAGTCTCGCTCTGTCACCAGACTGGAGTGCAGTGGCACCATCTTGGCTCACTGCAACCTCCACCTCCCCAGTTCAAGCGATTGCCCTGCCTCAGCCTCCCAAGTAGCTGGGACTACAGGTGCCCACCACCACGCCCAGCTGATTTTTTTTTTTTTTTTTTTTTTTGTATTTTACTAGAGATGGGGTTTCACCATATTGTCCAGGATGGTCTCAATATCCTGACCTCGTGATCCGCCCGCCTCAGCCTCCTAAAGTGCTGGGATTACAGGCATGAGCCACTGTGCCCGGCCTACCCTAGTTATTCTTGAATAACTCTAGTTCCAAGTCAATCAAAGAGCTCCGATTGTTCTTCCGCATGTTAAACTCTCCCCTTCTACACCTTTCCTGCTTCTTTGATTCATCTTTGAAAACTCCAGATATTAAAGAACATTCTGATGTCATTTCTTTGATAAAATGTCATCAATTCCTCCCAAACTTCTCTTATCCTTCTAGCCACTCACTTTCGGATCCTGTTTAGTTGTTTACACTGACTCTAAGAAAGGCTCTGTCAGGTGAATAAGTTAGGAGTTATTTTTCTATCCTCTTATACATGAGAAACAGGCAGAATGTGGCAGAGTCAGGCAGGATTCTTGACTAGAGTTATTTCTATTGGACGATAATTTTGTAACCCTTTATTCTTCCCAGAGTTATCCAAGGTAAGGGTATTTATTAAAAAAATACTCAGACTAATTTTTTTACCATTCACTTTCAGTGTTAATTTAATATATGCCAATGTTTTATACATTATGGAGAACAATATAATTTTAGGCTGGCCAGGAACAAATTCTTTTTATTTTTGTAGTTATAAATATGATTATAATATGTATTAGAAGAAATACGTATCCAGCAACCCCCAAATCCATGGTTCCATACCTATTATTGCTTAGGATGAGGCAAGTTTAAAGTGTGAGTATATTTTAGGTTTATTTAAAGAAAAATATAGTAGAAGTGGTATCTCCAAATCACAAAAGTAATATATAATTGAATGAAAGTTTGCAAGCACTAGTTTTTGTTTTGTTTTTGTTTCTGTTTTTGTTTTTGAGGAAATGATAATTTTATTGGGATTGATAACCACTTTGGTTATGTAGGGACAATGCACCCATTTTAACAGACGCATATTTAAATATGAAAGGATAAAATGATATGATGTGTGAGATTTACTTTTAAATACGTAAGCCAAAACCGACATAAAGCAAGAAAGAAAAATAACAAAATATTGTTAGATAAATCAAGTAGTTGAAATGTTTAAGAAACTAGGTCAGTGGTACTGTGAGATGTCCTATATTCTGGATTTGTCTCTGTTTTTTCCTGGCACTATTTCTTTCTTTCTTTTTTTTTTTTTTTTTTTTTTTTTTAGTTTATTACTATACTTTAAGTTCTGAGATACCTGTGCAGAATGTGCAGGTTTGTTACATAGGTATACATATGCCATGGTGGTTTGCTACACCCATCAACCTGTCATCTACATTAGGTATTTCTCCTAATGCTATCCCTCCCCTAGCCCCCCACCCCTTGACAGGCCCCCGTGTGTGATGTTCCCCTCCCTGTGCCCATATGTTCTCATTGTCTAACTTCCACTTATGAGTGAGAACATGCGGTGTTTGATTTTTTGTTCCTGTGTTAGTTTGCTCAGAATGATGGTTTCTAGCTTCATCCATGTCCCTGCAAAGGACATGAACTCATTCTTTTTAAGGCTGCATAGTATTCCATAGTATATATGTGCCGTATTTTCTTTATTCAGTCTATCATTGATGGACATTTGTGTTGGTTCCAAGTCTTTGCTTTTGTGAATAGTGTGGCAAAAAAATACGTGTGCATGTGTCTTTATAGTAGAATGATTCATAATCCTTTAGGTATGTACCCAGGAATGGGATTGCCGGGTCAAATGGTATTTCTAGTTCTAGATCCTTGAGAAATCACCACACTGCCTTCCACAATGGTTGCACTAGTTTACCCTCTCACCAACAATGTAAAAGCGTTCCTATGTCTTCACATCCTCTCCAACGTCTGTTGTTTCCTGACTTTTTAATGATCACCATTTTAACTGGCGTGGGACGGTATCTCATTGTGGTTTTGATTTGCATTTCTCTAGTGACATGTGATGATGAGTTTTTTTTTAATCATATGTTTGTTGACCACATAAATATCTTCTTTTGAAAAGTGTCTGTTTGTATCCTTCACCCACTTTTTGATGGGGTTTTTGTTTTTTTCTTGTAAATTTGTTTAAGTTCCTTGTAGATTCCGGGTATTAGCCCTTTATCAAATGGATAGATTGCAAAAATTTTCTCCCATTCTGTAGGTTGCCTGTTCACTTTGATGGTAGTTTCTTTTGCCATGCAAAA